GGAGGAGGAGGAGGAGGAGGGGAGGAGGAGGAAGGGGAGGAGGAGTAGAAGGAGGAGGAGGAGGAGGAGGAGGAGGAGGAGGAGGAGGAGGAGCGAGCAGAAAGGCCTGAGGCCTCTTGGATGCCTTTCGGATTCTCTGCGGATTTATTTCGGGAGTTGTTTGGAGTCCTTTTGGGGCGTCTTGGGGGTCTCTTGAAGGTACTGTGGGCCTCTTGAGGCGTCTTGGGTGCCTCTGGGCGACCTTTTGGAGCCTCTCTGGGGTCTCTTGGGGACCTCTTGGGGGGCATTTTGAGGGGCCCTTGGGGGGCGTTTGGCGCCTCCTGGGCAACTCTTGGGGCCCCTTTGGGGCACCTTCGGAAGCCGTTGCGGCCATCTTGGGGCTATCTTGGGGAGGAGATCGATCAAAGGAGGAACTCCCGCATTTGGACCCCCCCTCCCGGACAGCGACATGTGGCCAAAACCTGAGTAATCGGAGGTGAGGGGGTGAGATCGAAATGGAACGAAGAGCCCCCCTACCGGGAAATCGGTTTCGGTGTTGTGTTCGTGCGTGCCATGCGTGCGGGCGAGGCGAAGCTGCGTGGGCGGGCGAGAACTGTCCCGCCTCTGGCTGAGGCGCGGCCAGACCAAATGTTTCCTGTCCGGGGCCCGGTGGCGCCAGGTGTCCCGCCGGTGTCCCGTCGTTGTCCCGATGATGATGATGATGATGATGATGATGGTGATGATGATGATGATGATGATGCTGATGATGATGCTGATGCGGATGCTGATAATGACGATGATGACGATGATGACGATGACGATGTTGTTGATGATGGTGATGGCCATGGTGGTGATGATGATGGTGTCCCGAAGATGATGATGATGATGATGATGCTGATGTTGATGATGCTGATGTTGCTGACGGCGATGATGACCGTGCCCTGATGATGATGGCGGTGATGATCCTCATGATGTTGTTGATGATGGGATGATGATGATGGCGATGAATATGATGATCTTGATGATGGTGTCCCCATGATGATGATGACGATGATGAGGTTGATGATGCTGCTGTTGATGATGGTGGTGATGATGGTGTTCCGATGACGATGTTGATGATGATGATGATGTCGATGATGGTGTCCCGATGATGATGATGATGATGAGGTGATGATGAGGATGAGCTGGATGATGATAGTGACTTTGGTGTTGATGATGATGGTGTCCCGATGATGATGATGATGATGATGATGGTGATGGTAATGATGGTGACGAGTTTGATGGTGTCCCGATGATGATGATGATGTTGATGATGATGATGTTGCTGCTGATGATGATGGTGTCCTGTTGATGATGATGTTGGTAATGTTGTTCATGATGGTGATGTTATTATTATGATGATGACGGTGGTGCTCCCATGATGATGGTGATGATGGTGCCCCGATGATGATGATGTTGATGACGCTGATGGTCACGATGATGGTGTCCCGATGATGGTGATGATGATGCTGATGGCCATGGTGCCGATGATGATGGTGTCCCGATGATGATGGTGTTGGTGATGCGGATGTTTTTGATGATGGTGATGATGGTGTCCTGATAATGGTGTTGATGATGTTGCCGATCCTGCTGGTGTTAGGGATGATGGAATGATGATATGGTGTTGATGATGCAGATGATGCTGATGATGGTGTCCCGATGAATATGATGATGATGAGGATCATCATCATCATCATGCGGTTGATGTTGATGTTTAATTATGATGATGATGATGATGGTGATGATGATGGTTTCCCGGTGGTGGTGGTGATGTTGATGATGATGATGGCGATGATGGTGTCTCGATGATGATGATGCTGGTGATTCGAATTATGATGCTGTGATGATGATGGTTTTGATGATGGTGGCCCGATGCTGATGCTGCTGATGTTGATGATGGTGATGGTGTCCCGATGATGATCATGATGGTGGTGATGTTCATGGTGACGATGATGGTGCCTCGATGATGATGATGCTGATGATGATGATGATGAGGTTGCTGATCGTGGTGTTGCTTATGATGGTGATGATGGTGTCCCAATGATGATGATGTTGATGATGTTGTTCATGATGATGATGAGATGATAATGGTGATGGTGGTGTTCCGATGATGATGCTGGCGTCTCGATGATGATGAGGTTGATGAACATGACGGTGACGATGATGGTGTCCCGATGGTGATGATGGTGATGATTTTGATGATGGTGATGGTGGTGCGGTGGTGGTGATGATGATGGTGCCCCGGTGATGATGATGCTGATGATGATGTTGACGACGTTGATGACGATGGTGTTGACGATGATGATGATGACGATGATTGTGAGATTGATTTTGATGTCGGTAGTGAGATCGATCGTGAGACTGAGTGTGAGATATATTGTGTGATCGATAGTGCCACCGATTGTGAGATCGATTGTGAGATCGATAGTCAGATCGATTGTGAGATCGATCGAATGACATCGATCGAGTGAGATCGATTGTGAGATCGATCGGGTGAGATCGATCTAGCGAGACCGACAGTGCGATCGATAGTGAGATCGATAGTGAGGCCGACCGAGTGAGACGTTGGTTCACCCGAAGGGTGGTCGTATAGGTATTAGTGATGTTGGTCATCGCGCCAAGGTCTCTTGGGAGCCTCTTGGGGGCATCTTGGGGGCCTCTGGGGGGGGGCTCTTGGCGTGTCCTGGGCACCTCTTGAGGTCCTCTTGGGGCGCCCATGAGAGCCTCGGGGGCCATCTCGGAGCCATATAGGAGGAGATCGGTCAAAGGAGGGGGTCTCCTTCATCAGGGCCCACCCACACCAGGAGGGCAACAGGTGGCCAACACCCTGTCCAAATCATTGAGTTTGGCCATCTCGCCGAGTCCTCTTAGAGCGTCTTGGGTGCCCCTGGGGACGCCTCAGGATGTCTTGGGGGTCGCTTGGTGACATCTTGGGGGTTTGTTGGGGGGCTCTGGGCGCCTCCTGGTCACTCACCTCTTGAGCCCTCTTGGGGCACCCTCGGTAGCCTTCGGGGCCATCTTAGGGCCATCTTGGAGGAGATCGACTAAATGAGTGGAGCTCCCACATAAGCACCCCCAGGATAGCAAAGTGTGGCCAAAACCTTCCTACCATCAATAATGTTGGCGTCCGGTCCGAGGCCAAACAAGACACTCCAACGTCTTTCGACCCCCTTTCCAAAACCGGGCGGAGGGGGTATGGGGGAGGGGTTAAGACAACCTCCTAGATAGAAGCCGCCTAGTTCACTCCCACCCGCCCTCCCAACACAAAAGTCACACCAACGCCTCATCGTGTTCAGCGGTCGTCTTTGGATGCGCAGATACTGGGAACCAAAACCGTGCCCATGTGCGCGACGCTGGGGCGAGGTGCGCCACGCGTGCCAGGCGCGCCACGCGCGCCAGGCACCATTGGGGCCCGAGCGAGCCAGGCACGCCTGTTGCGCCAGATCCTCCACGTGCCTCTGGGTGCGTCAGGTGTGTCGCATACTCTAGCCGCGCCAGTTGCGCCACGTTCGGGGCACGTGCAGAATGTGTCAGGTGCGCCTGCGCACGTGACAACGCACATCGGGAGACATGCCGGCCCCCACCATCCTTGTCGAAATCCAATGCACATCATTGTGCCTGGTGGGATTGCGCACAGCAGGCCATACGCCACCACTACCGCCGTCCCTGTTAAAACCACTGAACAGTGATCGCGGGATGGCCGCGAATGGGCCAGATTCAGCCGCGAGGTGCATGTTATATTGTTTTCTTGACATGAATGGTCGCCCTGCGCACAGCAGGCAATATGCTGACACCCTCGGCACCCCTGGCAAACAAAAAAACAATGCAAAGTGTTCGCGGGCCTCACGAACATGACTCCAGACCCTGCCCCGAAGTGTATTGTGTCAGAGTGAGGGGTCCGAGCGGTCATTCATTGTCCCTGGGTGCGTGGCTGAATAGAGAATTCGTGGGGAGAATTCTGCTTGTTGCGTTGTTGTCGTCGTCGTTGTTGTTGTTGTCGCTGTTGTTAATTACTGAACACGTATTGCTGTTGGACCCCCCCCAGGCGCCTTGACGCTCCCGCCTCGGCACACTCCTTACACGTTTCGTGGCCCCATAGGGAGCTCCACCGAAAGCCCCAGCGGCAGCGCCCGCATGCGGTTCCACCTTCATTTCGGCACACCCGTCTCACGCTTCGTGGCCCCATAGGGAGCTCCACCGAAGGCCCCAACGGCAGCGCCCGCATGCAGTTCCACCTCCATGTCGATGTGCCCCTCACACGTTTCGCAGTCCCATCGGGAGCTCCACTGAGGGCCCCAGTGGCAGCGTCCGCATGCAGTTCCACCCCAATTTCGGCACGCCCCTCACACGTTTCGTGGCCTCGTCGTACCAACCGATTGAAAGCACACTAAATCCTTCGCGGGCTCTCTAGAGAAATGCTGCCTGTAGTATCTCGGGCTCTCTATGAATACTCTCGCCGTGACGAAGAATGAAGAACGTAACCTTTTGTGTGAGTCAGGGGCCCCTCGATTAAGAAACAGCGGCGGTTCAACAACCATGAAACGCATTGCTTGCTAGACTGCTGCAAATCACGGTGCTGAAAGACATATGAACTGACACTAAACATCAACAGAAAGGGTTCCAATTGACACGGCTGGAACAGGAGTTAGCACATATTACTTCGCAACATTCACGGGATCAAATCCGTGTGATCGGGGTTTCCAAGGTATGCCACCCGGGAACATCAACTCAAACAGGAAACGTCTTCGACAACGAAAGAAATTCTGCACGGAAAGCGTGAGTCCCACGGGCGATCGACCTCGGAACAAATATGACCTAGCAAATCTAGCTCACAAGACCGCACGTGGAGTAAAACGCTCCACCGCACAAAATCTCAATCCCTTAATTCATTGCCGAAACGAGGCTCGGCTTCTTGCCTCCACACAACAACGCGCAAGGAACCGCACTTGCCGCTCATGGGCGGCCCATCCTCGTTGCAGAACCTGCCAATCTCGTACCGCGTCGCGCTCTTCGCGCCCCGCATCCCAGCGCATGTGCTCGTCAAGTGGTATCTCTCGCCGTACGTGCTGATGTACACGTCGGGCTGCTTGGCCGTCGTAGCTGGGCGTCTTCGGGTTGCGGACGTCACCGTCGGTCCACGCGTCGGCACATCTCCAGGGATGGTAGACCTCATAGTCGTCTTCGTCGACCCACTGCTCGTTCCCATCTTCGGTGAGGCACTGTCCGTGCCCTTCGCGTCTTCGTCTTCTTCTTCGCCACTTGTAGCTCCACCTCGTAGTTGCAGTGCCGTGTCCATGGGGCTCTCCATCCTCCGCTAGGCCAGCGTTGCGCCAACCTTTCTCCCCATGCAAAAGCCGATCGCCAGCCCGATGCCCAGCGATAGCACGATCACAAACACGAGAAACGTCAGGAGGTCCCACGCGCCACCGTCCAGATCCACCCGGGTGCGCATACCGCGCCCCTGGCTCCCTGAAGCGGCGCCTGCAGCTAGTGTGGCTGCCAGCCTCCTCCCGCTCGCTCCGTAGTGTCCCCGGCGCGCTCTCTGCTTCGGCTGTTCCGTAGTCTCGGCGTTGCCCGCCGGTTCGTCGCAGGCTTGCTCCAGCTCTTGCTCGCGCAGCTCCACCTGCCTTTTGCTCAGCTTCTTTCCCGCCACGATGTTCGGGTCGTACTTCAGCGCATGCACTCCACGTCGTAGTATGTCCGCTAGCGTCTGGCGACTACTGAGCTTGGTAAGCCCATCGGCCAGCTGTTGCTGAGTGTTGACCCACCTCCAGACCGCGTCAATCTCCTCCACCTGTTCGTTCGCGATCCTGACTTCGATGGCGGCACGCTGCTCGGCGATGCCCAATCCCGCGGTTATTGACCTCGAGGCGTCATAGAGGCACTTGGCGTCCGTGATGAAAGGGGACTGGCCGAAGTACGTCATGGCCTCGTCGCCCGTCAGGTCGGGCCTTGAGCTGAGCGCCGCGTAGATCTTCACCAGCATGAGCGAGTCCACGCCCAACGCGGCGGCCTGAGCTTCGGTTGACAAAGAACTCCTGCACATGCGTTGCAACTTCTTCGAAGCCCATTCCATCGCCACGATCGGCGTAGGCGTGCCCGTCTCAAGCTCGTCGGCAGGCCCGATGAAGATCTGGTAGCCGCCCTTTGAGCTCCCGTCAGGTCGGCTTGCCCAGCCAGCATCCGAGTACGCTCCAATCCTCATAGCGTTCCATGGCTCGTCGAAACTGAAGCACAGCCCGACGCCCGCATTGGCGTTCAGGAATCGCAGGTCCTTGTTCGCGTCGATCATGTCCTGCGCGGTGGCGCTGCCCGTCGCAGCAGCACGAAACGGCACGGTAGCGGCTGCAATAATGATGCCCTGCGCGGTTGGCTTTTGCAGTTGCCCATCCAGCGTCCCGAAACTTGTCATTTCCTTCGGCGTCAGTGGACTCGTCGGGCTCGCACGTCGGGCCTTGTCAATGGTGATCGGTTGGGCCGCGTGCCAGTACTTCTCGAACGTCAGCGCGGTCGCGTAGGTGTTGACGTTCTGCTCCAGCTCGCCACCCGTAAACGCCAGCTCAAACCCGAAACCCCAGTTGCCAGAATTGAACTTCTGGTTCAGTAGAGCAAGCTTGGCCTTGAACGATTCGGGGTCGTCCACGGGCGCGTGCAGATCGCCCACCGTACTCGCATTCTCTCCGCATCCCAAGAAGTCGTCCACGTGCTTCCCGATCAGGCCGTCCACCGCGTAATTCTGGCCGTCGATCACGCAGATGTCGAACGGGTCGTCACTGGCCTCGCGATCCTCAGGCTGAGTACCGGGCAGTCCTCGAGCCAATGGTTCGCGTGCCCGATCTCCTTGGTGTGTTCGTCGGGCTCCGAAGCATGGCTTGACCATCTTCAGCAACTGTCCAGGTTCCAGTCCAGATTGCTGTGACAGCATCTCCCGCATCTCCTTGATGGGTGTGGCGTACAACTTCAACCCGCGGGGTTCCGCGCTGTCAGCTCGAAGGAACGCGGACTTCACGTCGGCGGAGAACACTTTCCACCTACGCACTGCCGCCCACAGTATGATGGCGTGTCGGCCGAGGCGGTCCAGGTTCGGCGCCCCCCTGTCGAGCTACCCCTCGGCCACGTCACGATTGTTGAAGCCCTGGTACAGAACTCTCGAGTCGGCTACGTGCTTGCCATCCTCCAGTTTCCACTTCAGCAAGAACAGCAGCGGGCAGCAGGCGGCTGGGTCGACCTCGGACTCGTCGATGGGCTCCCATCCCTCGTTCTTATTGAAGACCTCAAGGGCTCCCCACTTCGCCTCCTGGAGCTGCTTCTTTTCCTCGGGTGAGAGCCTGGCCTCCACGATTGCGGGGGCCTTCCGCTTGTGCGTGACCGTAGACACGGTCTCGGCCGACTCTTCTAGCAAGAGCAACTCTTCATCATCTTCGTCGTCGTCTTCTTGTTCAGCCTCCTGCTCCGTTCCCGCGCGAGCGGCGGCTGTAGGGGGCTGGCCCATGTCGCCCGCAGTTTCGTCGCACTCTGGCTTGTCGCCCTTCTCTCGCAGGTCCTGGAAGTTAAACGCCCCTCTGGTCTGCTCGAGCGCCTTCCGCAGCTTCTTCATGGTGCTGGGCGGGCAGCGCGGGCCGCCAGGCTTTGCCTCTCGCCCCCTCGTCTCCGACGCCAGCTCAGGTCGTAGCTGCTCCAAGCTGCACCTGTAAATCGCGCGCCTGCGCGTCGCCCAGACCACGCCTGCGCGCAGGACCTCGTCCTCGTAAGGCTTAGCCTCCACGGCCGCGACCGGCGCCGGCCCGTGCCAGCGACGCTTTTCCAGCGCCCTGTCTTTGTCTGGCCTCCAGTTGCGCGCCCACTCGCCAATTCCGCAGCCCCTGCGCGCGGGGCGGCTGCGCGCGAGCAAGGCGGCTCGCGCGGCGCAGGGGGCAGTTCGCTTCGATGAAGGCAGTGCCCGCGGCCGTCCGACGCACCATGATCTCGTGCACCTCGCTCTCCGGGTCAGTCAACGCGGACTGCTCGGCTAAGCCGAAGTCTTCGTCGCTCAACGCTCCAGGTATCTCGGGCTGCGCGTCCAGCACTAGCATTGCCGGTGAGGAAACGTTGACGTTCCTCAGCGCGTTCCGTTGGCTGGCCGTCATCCTCCGGGCCGCCTTCAGCAAGTCGTCGGGGATTTGCATGTGGTATTTGGCCAACTGTTCTCGACGGACGGCGCGATTGCGCTCCATCAGGCCGAGCTCGCGGTGGGCACCCTTGGGCGATGTCGAACTCGATGTTGCGCTCGCCCATCCACTTCTGCATCTTGGCTGCCGCGCGTGATCCTCCAGCGTCCACGCGCGCGCAGTCGGGTTTTCTTGCCCAGCTGATCCACAATTTTCCCCGCAGCTTCGTTTCGCGCCTGAACGTCTCCTTTCTGATCGGGTAGTCAACCTCCTACCTTGAGAACTCGCCCATGATGGCTAGGAATTGTCGCTCCTTCTTCTCTTACATGATGTAATACACGTCCGTGCAGACCACCTGGTTGAAGCGCTTGGCCATGGGCAGGACCGCTACGCGGACTGAACGTGGCCTCTGGAGTTTCATGCAAATCTCGCACTGGAATACCCGAACGCACTGGATCCAAGCAGCTGGGGCCTTCGCGTTCTGCATGGCGGTGGCTAGCGCGGCGCTGGAAGGATGCCCCAGGCTGATGTGCGCGCTTGACGGCTCGCACGGTGGACACATTATAGCACTTCGTGAGCTCCTGCACGGTGTCGTTATACTTGCCCAAAGTCGAAGTTGGGCCCAGCTTCCTCTGTGGCGTGGATTTCGTCGACCCCTTGAATATCTTCCTCGCGTCCTTGATGCGCGATGAGGTAAGCCATGCGCTTCGCCATCCTTTCTGGATAGTTCTGGGCTTGAGACGCTAGCTTCCCACGACGCACCACATGCTCCGTCTTACCCTTGCATCCCATGCTCATGGTTTTTATATGAACTCGTAGTTGGTTGACTGTGTAGTCCTGTCGGCTTCTGGTTCGGCATGGTCGCTCCGTCACACTGATCCAACCTGCAAAACTCACCCTTGAGTTTTTGCCACGTCTTCGTCTTCCAATGAAGTCCGCTCAAGGGTCCTTCCACGTATGCATGGCGTCTAGCGGCGGCCTGCTTGTCGAAGGCCTGTTTCGCCATTTTCAGGAAGGTAGCTTCCTCGCGATCCCTTGCCTTGGCGATCGCCTCCTTGCGCTCCTCCGAGAGGGGCGCATTCACGTGCTGCCGCGAACACCAGTTGGTACACTGCGGGGCCAAGAAGATGTCGTCTGGCTTCTCCCTGTCGATGGCCCCCAGGAACTGCCGAATGATGCGCGGCTTCGAGAAGTCCCAGCCCTCGCTCTACCTGACATGTACCCTTCGACCATCGGGCAGTTCTGTGGTTTGGAAGAGGAGGCGCCATAAACCACTCACGCCCTAAGGGCTGTTGGACTCATTCACGCTCTGACTCACACACACAGTCACACACTCGCACAAACATTCACGCACATTCTCTCCCTCTCCCACACAAACACACACACACACACACTTACCCACCCGCCCACCTACCCACCCACCCACCTACCCACCCACCCACCCACAACACACACATGCGCACGCACACACACACACATTCACACGCACACGCACACACGTGCTCTTTTTGGCGATCGTGTCCTCGCGCGCAGCGACGAGGCGCAGCAAGTCGAGCGAGCACGCATGCACGTACATGCTAGACCAGAGAAAAAACCCAATCAGTGGATGGTTTGAAATGGGATTGATAAAGAGATTGATAAGGATATCGGCAAGAAACATAGGAACCCGGAGCCCACCGAACTCGGCTCGGAACCAATGACCAGGAACCCGGGAAAGCGGAACCAGGAACCTGGGATCCCAGCCGGCTACCAAAATCGGCGGGACATTCTCTCCAAATCTTTCAATGTCCGCTAGGGCCCCTTCAGTGCAGGCACTGATTGGGGAACATTTGCCGAGGCAGCGACAACATGGTTTCAGGCGCGTTGATTAGCGATGGGCCCCGTTGCCTAGCGAAATCGACGCGCCGGGCCGTGCCGAATTGGAACGCGAAGAGCGTCCAGACGGGGTTCGGACACATCCGAGTCGGAGGAGGAGGAGGAGACCACGACGCCGGCCGCCCGCGCAGAGTTTTTTTTTTGCAGGCGGCCGTCAGTGCCCAGCGCTGGAATAGCCAGCGAGTCCCATGCTCAGGGATGCGGTGGGCCTCGCCGCCCCCTCCGTGCCCTGCGGGGCTGTTCTGCGCCGAGGGGCCCGTGTATCGCGGTTGCCGCGGTCCGTCCATTGCGGGACCGCGGAGAGCCCCTTTCTCTCGGCGCCAGCCTGGCTTGGCCAGAGAGCTGCCCGCCTGGCGCTGCTGGCCGACGTTTCCGCCAGGACTGATGTCGCCTCCGCTCGCGCCTCCTGCCCCTCCCCTCCCTCGTCCTCCCGCCCCTCCCCTGCTCCCCCCCTCCTTGCCCTCGACCTTTTCCCCCCTTCCTCGCCTCCCCCCTTCCCTGTCCTCGCCCCCCCTTCCCTCCTCCCCTCCCCTCCCCCGCTCCTCCCGCCCCCCCCTGCGGTTGTCCTCCCCTCCTCTTCCCCTCTCCTTGCCGTGGCGGCGGGGACCCCTCAGTAGGAGAAGCCTCCTGGGCTCTCTTCCCCGGAGTCCTGGTCGGAGCACGCTCCTGGAAAGAACCAGGGGCTGGTCTTGATCACGCCGGCACTGTGCGTTGGCTTTTTGATAGGGATGGTGGGGAGTGGGGGGTCGACATAGTGCTCAATGTGGCGCACCTGGCATGTGCGGCGCACCTGGTGGGCTTCGTGCGTTTGGTTTGCGTCTGCATTGGTTCCCGATAGCTGTCGATGGCGGCCACTGCCTATGCTGAAACTCGGGTGTAGTGGGAGGGCGGGTGGGAGTGAGCGAGACGGCCTGCGGCGTTGTCGCTGGGAACTTGACCTCCCCCCTGCCCCTTTCCCCCGCATTCCGCCCCTCTCCTCTCCCCCCTTCTCCCTCTCCTGACACGTGAGCGACGCAACAAAACGGGTCGAGGGGGAGGCGGACGAGGAGGGGAAGGAGGAGGAGGAGGAGGAGGAGGAGGAGGAGGAGGAGGAGGAGGAAGGGAGGAGGAAGATGGCGAGAGAAAGGGCAGAGGCCTCCTGGATGCCTTCCCGAGTCTCTCCAGACTTTTTCTGGGAGCTTCTTTGAGTCGTCTTGGGGCGTCTTGGGGATCTCATTGCCGTCCGGGGGGGCCCTCGAGTCTTGGGCCCTGTGGGGGGGGGCCACTTGGCCCTCTCAGGGGTCTCTCGGGAGCCTCTTGGGGGCACCTTGGGCGCCTATTGGGGCCTCTTTGGGCCGCCTGTGCACCTCTAGGGGCCCTCTTGGGGCGCCCTTGGATGCCTTGGTGGGGCTATCTGGGGGCCATGTGGGAGGAAATCGATCAAAGGAGGGAGGTATTCTTAATTAGGGTCCCCCGCCCAGATGGCCAAACTGTGTCTAGTAAAGCCAATGATTTAGGCCTTCTCGCCGAGACTTTTTGGGGCGCCTTGGGTACCTCTGGGGGGCCGCTTGGGCCGTCTTGGAGTCCTGTTGGGGCCTCCTGGGAACCTTGGGGCCATCTTGGGGCACCCTATGGAGCCTTGGGGGTCATCGTGGGGCTATCTTGGAGAGAGCGATCAAAAGAGGGGAGCTTCCATATTTGGATTCCTTCCCAGGGGGTTCACAGGTGGCCAACACATTAGTAGAACCAATCACCTTGGCTTCCTCGCCGAGGCCATCTTGGCCGCTTCGACGTCTCGCGAACCCCTTTCTCGAAACCCAGGGGGAGGGGGAGAAGAAGGGGGGGGGGGAAGAAAGCACTCCCTAAACCACTCACGCTCTTAAGAGCTGGTGGGATTATAGCATCTTGGTACAATGCCGAGGCCGTATTGAGGCGAATATTCGGGGTTTCTTGGAGGGTTCCGGGGGTCTTTGAGCGGGCCTCGGAGGCTTTGGGGGAGGCTCTGCCTTGGGATGTCCTGGGGGATGCTCTCAGAGGCCCTGGGCAGGTGGGGGCGAGGTTGTGGCCTGGAGATGGCAGAACACCAGTCTGAGGGAGCGCAGTCTGGGATGGGCAGAGCGCTGCGTTCGGGCCCGGGATCGAAAACAAGAATTGCAACAGCGTAGACTTGGGGAGGTCTGCGCAGATTTTTTTGGATCTGCGCTGGCCCCCCCTGTCGGCGCCTCTGGCGGCGCCCCTGGCGCGCGCCAGGGGTAAGGGTTCAGCGCAGATCTTAGACATCCGCGAGGACCTCCGAAAGCTTATATTTATGTCCTCTGTCCTTGCTTTACAGGAGGTCCTTGGGAGACCTGCCTCTGGCTGGGGCCTCAAACAGCTCAAGAGGCCGCCCGAGGCCCCCCAGAGGGCACCGAGGATTGCCGCCGAAACAGCCTCAAGGCGACCAGATCCCCAGGATGTTTAGGACAAGCGATGAAGGGGGCCACTGGACGGGAAGCGCGGCCGATCAAGGCGTGACATCGTGTTCCCCACATCCTAAGTGCGGTTCTTCCTTCCGCTGGACACCCCCGCATAGGAATAGGAACAGTAACACCCCTATATTCCGTTCCTCCGTCCACACTCACCATCACCATCATCACACCATTATCCTCTTCCTCATCATACTTAGCAGCGTCCTCACCATCACCATCACCACCACCACCACCATTATCATCGGCAGCAGCATCAGCATCAGCATCAGCATCATCAGCAGCAGCAACATCATCATCGTCATCAGCATCGTTATCGTCATCGCCATCGTCATCGTCATCGTCATCATCATCACTACCACCAGCACCGTCCTATGATGATTACCGGTCACCGTCATCATCTACCTCCGAATATCGATCATCATCCTCATCATAATCTCCATCGCGCACCCACTCACACAATAATCCAGAGAACATCTCGAGTGGGAGCCTCGTGTGTGAGTGAGACGCGAGGATGTCTCGAGCGGGAGCCGCCTCCCGATGGGGCCCCCAGCTTACGTCGGCAAGCCGAGGCGGTCTTCGGCGTACTGAAGCAAGAATAGCACTTGAGCACCCGATGGGGCAAGTCGTGACGACGTCTTGAGGGAGAGCCTCATTTGTGAGTACATGGCAAGGAAGTCTCGAGCGGGAACCCCTTCCATATGCGGTTCCCGCTTCATGTTGGCAATCCGAGGCGTCACCGGCCATTTGTAGCATGCGTAGCACATGAGCAACCCAAAGGGGCAAATCGTGAGGATATCTTGAGCGGCGGCCTCGTGTGTAAGTGAATTGCGAGGAAGTTTTCAGCGGGAACGCCCTTCTTTATGGGGTTCCCACTTTATGTTTGTATTCCGAGGCGGTCACCGGCGTACTGCAGCAGGAGGTTAGAATTTGAGAACCCAAAAGGGGGAACATCGTGAGGATGTCTTGAGCGGCGGTTCTGGTTGTGAGGAAAGGGCGAGGAAGTATTGAGCTGGACCCCCCTTGTGGGGTCCCCAATTCCCTTTGTAATCCGAGGCGATCGTCGGCCGACTGTAGCAGGCACAGCACTTCGGCACCCCAAGGGGAAACATCGTGCGGATGTCTTGAGCGGGAGCCTCATGTGATGTAATGGTTGAGGAGGTCTCCA